ACTGAAGTTAATACAACACATTCCCTACCTCCCCACATTCACAACTGTACCACCCCAATCCCACAGGCTCCTTCACTGGCACTTTTCCACCTATCTGGAAAGTGTGAGAGTCCAGAGATGGGTGTGAGCCCAGAGATGGGTGCAACTGTGCTGAAAATGTTGGCTAGCTTAAAGAAAATGTAAGAGAACCTCTTTTAGTATCTTCACCCCTTATTGAACAAGGAGCCAGCAGACAGCCCTTCCCCAGAGTCCTGTGCAGGTCTTGGCTGGTTCTCAGTAGGTAGAGCTGGATTGGTTCTCCTCCTTCCTGAGAACCAGTTGGCCTTGGCAGTTCCAACACTGCTCAGTACACACTAGGTCACGCAGCAGTTCAGTGCTCCCTTTTGTGGGGGCTGGGAGCTAAGCCCAGACTCCTTTAAGCAATTTTATGTTTCTCTCAGGTCCAGAAGTGAAAATTCCTAATGCTAGTCTCTCTATCTGAGCCTGTCCATCCCTTCTAAGCTACTGAGCGGCTCTTGTTCCTCACTGGCCCAGCAAACTCTCTACAGTTTCCTGTCAGATGTTTTGAATGTTCCTCACTGGCCCAGCAAACTCTCTTTAAAAACATTTGACGGGAAACTGTAGAGTTTCCAGACTATTTAGTCCCCACCCCAAACTCTAAGCTGGCTAGTCAGTGGTGTCTGGAGGCTCTGCAAGGATTATTTTAGTCCCCAGAGGCTCATTTCAGCATTCTGGGAGTTGAAAAACTCCCAAGAGGATACAGAGGTGACAAGGAAACACATAGGTAGCTGGCAGGTAACCTTGGGGCCCAGCAAAGCACCACAGTGTAATGCTGGTAGGGAAGATAGTGAGGCTGTGCATCATCTCACAATGGCTCTACTACATCCCTTTCCTGGTAGAGATGAGAGCACCAAGACATGACAACTTAGCTCTGGAAAGTGTCTGGAGCTCCCAGGATGCTCAAACCATCCTGCATCACCCATTCTGCATAAATTTAATGTTGTTGTGGAAAGCATTTCCTGGTGTGATTGAGTGCACTCAAACTGCTGCTTATACTTTAAAAGGGTCCAGTTTTGCAGTCCTTTTCGGAGGTAAGCTATACTCCTGGGAACAGCTCCTCTGACATCACTGAAAATACTTTGCATAATTTAGGATTACTGAACAGAAGGGCAGCAGGATCCAGCTCTACAGTTCTGTTCAGTTTGGTATAACTAAATATCCACAGACACTACCGCAAGATAAGAATAAATTGAATGAGCATATTTGCATAGTTGCTATGGACTCTCTAATGCCAGGTATTCTTCGTAACGAGATGTCTGACTTCAGCAAGGCCAGTTTTATGGCAAACAGGATAAGGGTGGCACCAAAGGTGACAAGGATAGTAGTATGCAATTAAGAAACGTACATAAATAAAATTCCCCCCGGCTCTGTATCGATAAAAATGGACAGAGGTAGTTTCAAAGCCAACAAATGGGTTGTAAAGTGCCCTATTCTCCCCTCCACTTCTGCAAGCAGAGGCGAAGCAAACCTTGTGGATCAAGGCCAGAGGAGGAATAGGAAGGAGGAGAGCATACTTGGTGGCATCCTCCCATGGATGATGAACCATTGGAAGCTCCTCCACAGGAAGTCAGTGGGAAAGCAGAGCCATACAGTGGGAGAGGGTGGGGCTGAGGGAGAGCCGCAGGGCTCTCCAAAGCTTGTTTGTTTCTTTCTTGTGGCATAGTCGCACATTCCACTTCAGACTTGAGTCAGGAGGCAGCGGTGGTCTTTGTGACCACCACTGAGGGTGGAGGTAAAGACCTTCCACATGCATGACAACTGCCTCTGGTAGATCCTTCTAAATCTGAGTTTAGTTGTCAAAATCTCTTCTTCTTCTGCCTCCCAACTTCTCTTTTGGCAAGAAGGCACAATCCCCTTTTGTCTGGTAACAGACTGAAGAGGAAACTGAATTCATTTCTTGGGTGCGGTTGTGTATGGCAAATAAAACTTTCCAGAGGAACTAAAATTAAGTAAAAATTTGGCAATCGTGCACTAGTTGAAGTTAATATCTTGTGTAATTAATTGGGTTTGCTTTCTGAATAAGTTAATTAAAACATTAATTTGGGGGTTTGCTTTTATCGTTCCCAGGGTGAATTATTGGAACTGAGACAAAAGCAAGAAGAGGATGAAAAAACAAAAATGCATCAGAATGAACAGAGGAGGTAAAGTTTATGGAGAAAACAGAAGAAATTGCTTCAATTGAATTCCTGTCTAGAAGCCTTCAGGAAACTACAATCTTGTGCTATTCTGTTAAGGATGCTCTAAGGAACATCTTTAGCATCAACCTTGCACTCTGACAAGCCAATGGGATGAATTATTGCAACTCATGTATACTCAGTTTTTACCTAATTGTGCACAAGTGCAGCAACTTTCTTCAAAAGGGTTTTTTTGTTATGTACCCATTTGTCTGAAGACAGAATTGATCTTTCAGGATGCATGTGGAGGGAAATCTGATTATTTTACTCTAAGGCCTAGATTTTCAGAGAACTGTGCGTTCCACAAGGAATAATAGTGTGGATGCTCCATTGCTGCTATATTGAAATCACTCTGAATGTCTTTGGGGAGTAGTTATTACTCCCCAGTGCTTCCTGGGGCTCTAATCAAGGTCACACGTCCACATTAAGGGAGCCTGCCTCGGACTAATTTCAAGGCTTCCCTGTAGTGTGGACATGCTATTTTGCAATATTTTGGGAAATATTTTGAAATAACTTATTTTAAAATTTCCTAGTGTAGACATGCCCTCAGACACATCTGAAATGGCTTTTACAGTGTCATGAAGAAATAATATGGTATGATACATCATGCAGCACTGGTATGATGAGCACAGTATGTGAATAGTTGCATTTTCCTGAATTATTTAATGCATCTGTCATAGCTACAAGAGTTCTGTGAGTGCCCCCAACCAACCTTCATCACTGGTTGAGTCCATTAGCTTATGAACTGATTTTGTGGATGATCTCTTAATTCAAATTCACATGCTAATGGATTCAGTCATGATGAAGGTTGGTTGGGGGCACTACCATCTTGACAGCCAATGAAAGTGCAAACAGCTCTTTGTGTAGACTCCTATGTCAGGAAGGATACTATCAATTGACTTTGATTCTTATCTGCTTCGTTTTAACTACCCAATCTTCATACACTTACTGATTCCCTCTCTCCCACCCCCCTCCTCTTCTCTTCTCCTATTTATTTTGGGTCTGCACATCCTAAACTTATAACTCCGGTCATCTGAAGAAGTGGGCTGTGCCCACGAAAGCTCATGATACCATCTGCATGTTTTGTTAGTCTATAAAGTGCTACTAGGCCATTTGTTGTGGCTTTTTTTTTCTGTACAGACTAACTCAGCTACCCCCTGAAGCTATAGGGAATGACTCATTCTATAAACTATTGATAGCAATCTTATGGCTGAGTGTCCACACAGTGAATTGGAAAATATATACAGTGGACTACTGTTGTGGTTTTTATTATTCACTATGGGTTTTAACTAAGCAAAAGGGTTCACAGTTGATTTTTAAGCAGCAAAAGCCATTCACAGAATTCATATAATACATTTTAAAGTTTTATTAATCTCTAAACAAACCTCTATTAATGTTGTTTCCCCTTCGTTTTCAAGAGTAAATAATGCTTTTCTGGACCGACTACAAAGCCAAAGTCAACCAAGTGGCGTTCATCAATCTGGACGTTTTCAAAATATGGATTGTTTTGGTGGTGACAGCTGGGTGAGTGACACAATCTTTCAAAGTCCCAAAAATGAAATCAAGGAAGTAAGTGTGTGTGTGTGTGTGTGTGTGTGTTTAATAGAACTACTGACTCTCCAGATATCATTCTTTTAGTGTTCTGCTTAGTCTGATGGGCTGTCTGCCAGGATGATTACTGTAAGTTCTATAGTGGCTTTTGAGGGGGAAAAAAATCCTGAATAATAGTCTTATCAAAATAAAAAATGACAGCTGCCTTTTCTGCAGAACTAGATTGCCTTGAGTGCAAGACTTTCTCTGCTTCCCTAAGTTTAGAACAAAAATAAATTAAGAGATTCTAAATGAAAGACTTTGGAAATGTTGTAAACATTTTTAAAACATTCTTGAAGGGGAAAAAATAGAACATCAAAGATACAGCTGTTCATTTTTCCACATAAAATTGTGGCAAGAAAGACACCGTGTATCCAATTTAAAATATGAAACCATCTGCATGACTTTTGAAGAAAAAATCATGGAATTTTGCTGTCATCCACTAAATGTACAATATTAGATACCAGCCTGTATCCACACATTAATCAAATGTGAATATGACTACAGTTCTGCATAATGGCATTCTTACATGATCCCAAAATATTTGTACTACTCCCTTGTAGTTAAATGAACCACAGCGGAAATTGCCTTTAAGGGCAAATACAATTGCTAAAACGATAATCTTCCAAAAAGGAAAACCTGCAAAGGGATTAAACATTGCAGAAAGACACACAGGCTACGTCTAGATTGGCATGATTTTCCGCAAATGCTTTTAACGGAAAAGTTTTCTGTTAAAAGCATTTGCGGAAAAGAGCATCTAGATTGGCACGGATGCTTTTTCCGCAAAAAGCCCCGATCGCCATTTTTGCGATCGGGGCTTTTTTGTGGAAAACAAATCAGAGCTGTCTACACTGGCCCTTTTGCGCAAAAGGGACTTTTGCCTGAACAGGAGCAGTATAATATTTCCACAAGAAGCACTGATTTCTTACAGTAGGAAGTCAGTGCTTTTGCGGAAATTCAAGCGGCCAGTGTAGACAACTGGCAAGCTTTTCCGGAAAAGCAGCTGATTTTCTGGAAAAACTGGCCAGTCTAGACACAGCCATAGGGCTAAGTGAACTGGCAAATGTAGTGAAAACCAATGTTATCTTAAATGATAAACAATAACTGAGTAAGCATGATGATTGATCTTCTGATCTATTTCCAGCACACGTGTTCATTGATACTTTTGTATACACGTTTTAACCTTTACATGTGAGAGTAATCTTATTGATGTCAATGGGACTATGAATAAGTGTAAGGGTAATCATGGATGGAAGTCTGTGCAGTTTCATTGAGGGTGGCCCTTACACTATCTGTGTCACCGCTGTGTTTAGAAACACTCAAGTCAGCTGATCCTGCCAGAACAGAGAAGATTGACAAAGGGCAGCAAGAGGAAGTGTTACAATCTCCACTTTGCAGATGAGGGGAACAGAGGCACGGACTCATTGTCTCTTTCCAAGGCCCCATTAAAGCCAGTTGCATTGCTACATATAGTGCCTAAAGTCAAACACATGTAAAAAATCTTTTCAGGATCAAGGTCTGAGACTGTAAATGCTTTGTTGAAGGGTTTAGATTCTGCTATCCATTTTTTGAAGAGAATGGAGTTACATAGTCTGTATTCCAGGGTGGCCCCTATATCTGCATGGTGTATTTGAGTTCAATGTGGTGTAGGGCGGCAAAGCCATGAAGCAAATTGGGTCAAATCACAGTTTATACAAATCTCTAGAACTCAAAAATAGGTTTATATTAAGTATAGACAAAAATCATCAGTGACTTCTCCAGGAGAGAGCTCTCCAGTGTTTCATGATATTCTGCCATCAAATTGAAGGGACAGATGGGATGACTTTCTTAATCTGAGAGTTCATCCCTTCTTTGGATGCAGTTACCTGCCAGCAGTGTAATTCTGAACATAATTCTGTAGAGCAAATATTTTGCTTTTGGAACAGATCAGATTCCATAAAGCAACAGGGATTTTAGATTTAAAAAAAAAAAAATCTGAAGAGACCCCCCCAGCGGTGGTCTTCATCCTTTTTCTGATCTTTAAATGATGTAAATTGAACAGTGTTATACTAACCAAATACTTGTTCTTTTAAAAATGCACAGAATATAAATCTTTTCAGTAAAATGCAACTTTATCTGCTCATTTACCAAATGTTTTTACCGCCCTTCTTGGTTATGGAAAACAAGTGTTGTGGATCCATTTAAAAAAACCAACAAATTAATACTCCACTGCTCTCTGCAAGCTGATGCTTCCTTGGGAGGTAGGATTCATTGCAGGCTCAAAGGGAAGATCTTGAAAGACTCCTGTTAATACATTGGCAACCATTACAAACCTTTCTTTTTTAGAAAACAGCAGCAGCTGTCAACTCAGTATGATTTATAATTTCACAAGCATTAATACCCAAGGTGTAAATTGTGTACAGATTGTCTCAACTATATTGGCACTAATAATTGACCTAAATACAGTTTGCTTCTGTCTTTATGAAAAGAACAACTTCAAATTTTTATATGCTAAACTTTTATCCATACTTTTTAATATGAGGGTTTTACAGAGGCCAAGCAATTGAATACATTGCAAGTCCCTTGATAGATCTTAATTTTGTGTGGAAATACAGGGCCCTTTAGGGGCCTTTATTCCATTAATAGAGAAATGCCACATAGTAAACTGCTGAATTCTGTGTAGTTTTCTTTAGCAAAATGTAAGTTGCCATATTGAAACTTTGCAGAGCCATAGTAAACTTGGGACCTAAAAAGCAACTTGAGAGATTCTCTCATTTTAAGTCTCCATTATTCTGTGTATCATGCATAAGAACGAGAAATGCTTTTTGAATGCTGACTGCGCCGTTTGGTAATGCACTGTTAAAGTATGCATACTTCCTGGGAGGGGAAAGCTTAACCACAGAAGGCAAAGGACTGTAGGTGCAATGAGACTCCTCCAATATGTCGAACAAGAATCTACTGGAAAAGCAAGTGTGTCTAAATGAATGAGACTATAACATTAGTGAAGTTTTGTAGGATGATGTATGGGAGTGATTCTTCCGGAGTCTTATTCAACAGCTATCTTATCCTATTTGCTCCTGCCAATTTTTCAAGGGATGCAACATACCATAAAGCTTATTGTTGCATACTAAAGTGTAGTAGTCCTGGCTAAGGAGTGTAAACAGCCACATGACAAAGCAGTGTTGTCCAATACTGAACAGATTGATCACACGTGGAAGCTGCCTTTACACTAGCATGTTTATACATATGTAACACTCATGAACACCATTGTTTCATCACTTGTTGGGGAAACAAACCAATTTTGATTTTGTATCATTAGGAGTTGAGATGAGATACTAGGCTGGCAGGATTACTAGTCTGATCCAGTATGAAAATTACTATGTTGAAGAAAAATTGGTTACTGCTAATGCTTTTGCCTGGCTGGTATTCATTTAGTAAGGCACAGTTTAGTTAATTAGGCTGTGTTCCTGTTGATGTTTTAACACCCATTTCTTTCATCATTCAGCTAGAACTACAAAAGAAATAGGTGTTAAAGACTATTTTACAGCAGAAACAGCACTATAGGGTAGGTAGCTTATTGAGAACATCCTGACTGGATGCAGCTGAGTTTAATGATGATGCTTTTACCTCTGAAGAGCTGATCAAATAGCATATTCAAATATGTGCTTCCTGATCTGATATGAGGTAAAGAAACTTCTCTAGTTGAATGTTATTTTCAAAGGAAAAAGTTAGGGCTCCTGTGTCAAGCTATCGGGAGTGGCTCCAGGGCATTACTGCCAACTTCAGGGCAGACTGTTAAACAGGGCTCACAGATTGAGAGTGCTACATGTAAATTTCAACAACCAAGCATTAAGTGTAAACTCCTCAGGCACTCCAGCTGCCTTTAAAATGGAGTCAAAATAGTTCCCTTGGGTATGCCAATCTATCTTTCCATCCAAGCAAGTCTTCCTTTGTGGTAGATTCTCCTTTACACCAAAAATCACAATAATATTCCAGTATCAGAGGGGTAGCTGTGTTAGTCTGGATCCGCAAAAGCGACAAGGAGTCCGGTGGCACCCCCAGTGGTCTCCAACCTTTTTACACCCAAGATCACTTTTTAAGTCTCCGAACAGACGAAGATCTACCGCTCTGCCCCTTCTTTGAAGCCCCGCCCTCTCTATTCTCCTGTCCATCACTTGCTGAAAGCCACAGTCAGCTTGCTGGGGTGTTTCAGCCCTCCCAGCTCCCACCATTCCTCGCAGCTACTCACCTGTGTTGTTGCTCGGTGAGTAGCTGGTCCTCAAATGAGGAAATCAAATGTAAATGTACTGCGCAGGCGCACAGTTCAGAGGGCTCAAGAGCTACTCTTAGAGCCCCTGAGATCTACCAGTAGCTCGCGATCTACTGTTAGTCTATACCGTAGTCACCAACCAGATGTATTGGAGCATAAGCTTTCATGGGCAAAGACCCACTTCATCAGATGCATGTAATATTCCAGTTACTCTGAATCCAGAAGGACTGGTCATTTACCACAGGTGAATTGCACTTTCATGAAAGAACAAACTTGTAGGCAATTTAATAACTACAGATTTATTACTGACAAAAATAAATGCTTTAGCCTTATAAATAACTCCATCATAAACACACTAATGATTTGTAGTAGTAGATTCCAAAAGGTACAAGAAACTGCTGTAATATGCAAGTTCTGTGTCCACTAGGATGAGCCTAGACTAAGTTGCTTGGGGTTCCCTTGCTTATGCTAAGAAATTTTGCAGCATGGAGATAGTTTCTTCTTATCAGGGATTTTTATTCACTTTTCCCATAGTTCAGGATGACGGGATGAGTTCATGCACAGGGGGGGTGTGTGTGTGTGTGTGTGTGTGTGTGTGTGTGCAAATGTACAGTTAGCAATATCTTTGTCCTATGCTTTTACAGTGGTTCATCTGGTTGCAATAGAACTTTTTGTAGGCAGGATCTAACACCTTCTGTAAGAAGCCAGCATTTTACATTGGACCATATTTCTTTCCTGTTTGAGTTCCATATTTAGGGTATTACAATGGAAACATTCAATATAACTCTAAGACAGAGTACATCTGTTATAAATGAGATTATGACCTGCAACATTTTACAGGCGTCTTATAAAGTCTAAGCATTAAACACATTTTTATAAATTCAATACCTGTTTTAACAACATTTACACGTGAGTGATCCAGGCTGTTTTCCAACTATGCATTTGTCAGTGGTCCGTTAAGGCGTAGGAATCTTTGCATGATTTGGCCCCAGCTGTGTCCACATCACATCCAGGAAAAAAAAACCTCTCTTGAAGTACAGCAGCTAGTGTTCTACATATCTCAAGAAACATTCACAACAATGCCTATGTTGATTAGATTCTATGAATTGCAAGGGTTGTTGACCCATGCAGAAAATGTTTTACCACATGAACAGTAAGATGAATTTACTCATATTAAAAGGAATCAATATTTGCTTAATATTTTTACTGTAATTTTATTTCTCATTCCCTAT